CCATAAGAATCAATATTCAAAGTAACGTACAGCAAGTTCACACTGCTGAAGTCAGACTAGTAAAGATGGATTCCGATTGGTCGCTATGGGTTACTGCGCCATTGGCCAAGCTTTCTTTAATGATGGAGACTAATAGGGTTATTCACAAAAGGGTGAAGAGTTTGGAGAAGGGAGGAGAAGTGAACAATCTAGGACAACATAGCTGAACTGGAAAATGAGCTGAATTGGAGAATGTTTCCAAATCAGCTATGTTGTCCTAGATTGTTCACTTCTCCAAACTCTTCACCCTTTCGTGAATAACCCTGCAAATGTTTGGTTGAATGTCACGTTACAATAAAGCTTAAAGCTGGCTGAACAGATTCAGATTTTGGTTTGTGGGACCTTACCAACAATTAAAGTTACCCATAGACACGAGATAAAACATGCTGGCCATGTGTGGTTGGATCATGGAACAATCTCATGACTGTGAGATACCCTGAACCTGCCAGCTAGCCATTGTCTGCAGGATTGGCAGATAATGCCGCTTACAAACCTGCTCTGACTTATGAAATGGTTGTTTTTGTACCCACTTTGTTATTTGTATTTGCAATAACAAGTTCTGAAATAGAAAGGAAACTGTACTGTGATCACTATTGTTCCACTGTGAGAAAAGTGGCACCATCGTGGTCAGATCCTCCGCACCACAACAAATAGGACACTCTACAGATCCAAGATGTCATTATTGTGTGGCTGATGCCCAGTCCTGTTGCCCTTAGCCCTGGTTCACACCTAGGCGTATTGCATATGCACGGTTGTCGCGCGTTTTTTTTACCGCAATTCGCGGTAAAAAAAATCGCGTGACAAACGCGCGTTTCCGAGGGCTACTTGGCTGTATCCCAATGGAAACGCGCAACAAAAACAGCCTAAAGTAGTACATGTACCTTTTCAGGCGTGGGACGGGCGGAAATACGCCGAGGTGTGAACCAGACCCATTGAAAACAATGGGATTTTCATGTTTGAGCGTTTTGTAGAGCGTTCGTCAAGCGTAGAACGCGCTACAAAACGTTCAGGTGTGAACGAGGGCTTAGGGTAGCCGATCGTCCATGCATATGCAACCAGCCCTAATGTCTTGTGGCGACTTAAAATGATCCTGTGCTCCATCCTTTTTAAACTTGTAAAAGTTGCTTGTTATTACTTTATTTGCCAGAAAAGCAAAGTTTGACTTTGTTACTGAGTCTTGTCTTCCACTGACTTCATGGCTCATCTCCACCATTTCCATTAGGAAAGCCCTTACTGGCCACCGAAGTCGCTCTTATTGGCAGTAGGTGGAGTTGGGTTGTTTAAGGATTGTTGATGAACATTAATGTAACTGTATCCTCGGAAGTGTGTGTGTAGAAGAGATTGATTTTGCCAATAATAAAAGCCAACAAAAACCCATCTCCTCGTGTTATCTCGCATTACTACGTGCCAGCAATGAATAAACTATAGAAGACTATACTATAGAAGAATAAGAATATACTATAAAAGAATAAACTATACAGGAATATACCATATAAGAATATACTATAGAAGAATAAGAATATACTATAGAAGAATAAGAATATACTATACAGGAATATACCATACAAGAATAAGAATATGCTATATAAGAATAAACCACAGGGAAAGGGACGGCTGTGCCAGGCTCAGAACTGCTGTGGAAATGCTTGGTTTGTCTTTGGGCCGTACAATATTCAGTACCAGTTTCTGTTACCATCTGGCATCCACTACATGGGTAGCACTATCTGCAGAGGCATTGTTGAAGCAATGTGTCATATTTTGGGTTCTCTGGTAAGGTTCTGGTACCACCTGGGCTTATGTGAGTTAGTTTTTGGCATTTTGGTTCCTTTGTACCCTCTGGGCCCACAATTACTGGTATCTTTCTTGTGCTAATTTGACAAGTCCTTCCTGTGGTTGTGCGATTTGTCACCTCAGTGTTTCTACCTGCGCACAGGTCTAGCATTGCATTCTTATTATTCAAGCACTCACCCTGCTAGCATAGACCACTGCTTCCATAGTGATTATCAAAGTGCTGGAAGTCGATGTTTGCACAAACCAGTGCAGGGTGCGAATAATGACTTTAAATATTCAATCATGTCATGAGCCCATGGACCACTACCCTGAACTGTCCCAGTGTGAATGTCCTGGGCTGGCCTGTGGTCGGAGATTAAGATTGTATGAACAGGTAGTGCCGGGACAGGTGCACCAGAATGAACACAATTCTGAAATATGTTAGCGATATAATTCTGTACATGGCGGCAATAATCTGGAGTCATTGATCCTGGGAAGAAAAGTTTCCTAGTGGCTGTCAGTGAAGTGTGAAGGCAGGAAATGACTAGATAGGAAGACACAATCGGGGAATCAAAACAAAAAAATCTGAGACAAACTTTGTCTCAACTGAATTGCAGCCAATCCGTTTTACATTTTTCATTTTCTATGCTGTGTAGAAAAAATGAAAGATAGAAGCTGATTGGTCGCTATGGGCAACTGCACCAGTTAGGATAAAACTTGCCTCAGACACTTTTTTATTAAACCCCCTCTCTGAGTCAATCAGCCCCATTCCATAAGAATCAATATTCAAAGTAACGTACAGCAAGTTCACACTGCTGAAGTCAGACTAGTAAAGATGGATTCCGATTGGTCGCTATGGGTTACTGCGCCATTGGCCAAGCTTTCTTTAATGATGGAGACTAATAGGGTTATTCACAAAAGGGTGAAGAGTTTGGAGAAGGGAGGAGAAGTGAACAATCTAGGACAACATAGCTGAACTGGAAAATGAGCTGAATTGGAGAATGTTTCCAAATCAGCTATGTTGTCCTAGATTGTTCACTTCTCCAAACTCTTCACCCTTTCGTGAATAACCCTGCAAATGTTTGGTTGAATGTCACGTTACAATAAAGCTTAAAGCTGGCTGAACAGATTCAGATTTTGGTTTGTGGGACCTTACCAACAATTAAAGTTACCCATAGACACGAGATAAAACATGCTGGCCATGTGTGGTTGGATCATGGAACAATCTCATGACTGTGAGATACCCTGAACCTGCCAGCTAGCCATTGTCTGCAGGATTGGCAGATAATGCCGCTTACAAACCTGCTCTGACTTATGAAATGGTTGTTTTTGTACCCACTTTGTTATTTGTATTTGCAATAACAAGTTCTGAAATAGAAAGGAAACTGTACTGTGATCACTATTGTTCCACTGTGAGAAAAGTGGCACCATCGTGGTCAGATCCTCCGCACCACAACAAATAGGACACTCTACAGATCCAAGATGTCATTATTGTGTGGCTGATGCCCAGTCCTGTTGCCCTTAGCCCTGGTTCACACCTAGGCGTATTGCATATGCACGGTTGTCGCGCGTTTTTTTTACCGCAATTCGCGGTAAAAAAAATCGCGTGACAAACGCGCGTTTCCGAGGGCTACTTGGCTGTATCCCAATGGAAACGCGCAACAAAAACAGCCTAAAGTAGTACATGTACCTTTTCAGGCGTGGGACGGGCGGAAATACGCCGAGGTGTGAACCAGACCCATTGAAAACAATGGGATTTTCATGTTTGAGCGTTTTGTAGAGCGTTCGTCAAGCGTAGAACGCGCTACAAAACGTTCAGGTGTGAACGAGGGCTTAGGGTAGCCGATCGTCCATGCATATGCAACCAGCCCTAATGTCTTGTGGCGACTTAAAATGATCCTGTGCTCCATCCTTTTTAAACTTGTAAAAGTTGCTTGTTATTACTTTATTTGCCAGAAAAGCAAAGTTTGACTTTGTTACTGAGTCTTGTCTTCCACTGACTTCATGGCTCATCTCCACCATTTCCATTAGGAAAGCCCTTACTGGCCACCGAAGTCGCTCTTATTGGCAGTAGGTGGAGTTGGGTTGTTTAAGGATTGTTGATGAACATTAATGTAACTGTATCCTCGGAAGTGTGTGTGTAGAAGAGATTGATTTTGCCAATAATAAAAGCCAACAAAAACCCATCTCCTCGTGTTATCTCGCATTACTACGTGCCAGCAAATTTTTTTTTTTTATTGCTGGTTGCACTAGACCAGTAGAAGGAACATCCGAAATTTCCCAGCCTGCCTGATTTCTGTTTTCCACCTCCTGAAAGTCCAAAGCGTCTGATCATTCTGCAGATGTTGGAATTCAGCTGATAGCAATGACAGGGTTAGATAGGAATTGGCTGAATGAAAGGTCCTGAGAGCCCTGTGGCAGGTCAGGATATGGCTGCACTCTGTAGATAGTTCATGAGAGTGATAAGATCAAGCACAGACCAAATGTGGGCTGAGGGTGTGAACTGTACATAGTGGTCGGAAAACAAATAAGTTTTGTGTTTGCTGTTTAGAGAAGGGAGTATGGTAGTAAGATACCCTAGCAGTTATTATCCTCTAAATATGCATTGGCCACCCTGCACAAATATCTGTGTACATGTTGTGCTTCTTGACATGTCTCATTTTCTCTCCTCTTCAGCCCACAATCAATGATGTATGTCTTTCTGGTTTAGCATTCCCCCCCATCATAACTATTCACTGCTGCATGTCCCTCTTTCCTTTGCTTTGAACTAAGCTTTACAGAGCTTTGCAGTCTCCCTCGCTTACTGCTGGCACTGCTAGCTGTAATGTGGCTGTGACTGTATTCATGTTTGCTTGTCTGTACAATTCCCCTGCTGCTATCTGGCCGTTAGATCCCAGCCTCTTGTATGTGCACCTGTGATAAATGATCATTTGTCTGACCCCCGTGAGTTGCCCAGGGCTCCATCCCCAACCTCGGCTGTCACGTTCACCCCGGTGAATTTAAACCTTGCTTTTTTTATAAATAGTTAGGTCCCATTCCGTTATGTAGTCCCAGTACAAGTGCTTGCGCTTTCTCTATATTTAGTTTTATTTACATACTTTGACTGTTTAATGTCCTAGCGTTAGAAAAGCAGAAGATCTGGTGCAGTTGTCATTTTTAATTTCTAATCGTTTTCTTTTTCCTTTCCCCAGCACGGCAAGTAACTCGAACCGAAGCTCTCCCGCCTGCTCTCCTGTTCTGCGCAAACGCTCCCGCTCTCCAACACCACAGCAGAGTGAAGGAGAGGCCATGGTGGAAAAAAGTTCAGACCATTCTTCAGACAAATCTCCCCCCACCCCAGAGCCGGGAGTCCAGCGGAGCGGATCGTCTCAGTCAGGGCGCAGTGGGGGCAAAAATTCTAAGGTATGTGTTGCTTCTGTCAAAGCCTTGGCCCAACCGTGTTTCCATAGTAATGATATTCTGTCCTGTTAGTCTTCTGCTGCTGGACAGAATATTACATTGGTGTAATAGCGTATGGTTCTATGTGAGTATCAGAGGAATGGAAAGGCTAAACTAGATGTATATATTTCATCTTCAGTATTTTTGCATTCCTGTGCACCATGCTTGACCTTATTTTATAGATCTGTGTTGGTGACATTTGTACTGACAAACTGGGGCTGATTTACTAAAGTGGATTAGAGGCCACACCACAACATGGGTGTGATGGGTGCTGCTCTGCACCGTGATAAAATGCAAACATGGTGCATTTTATCGCAGCACATTGCATGCCACTGCAGGTCGCTGCATAGGAACCTGAATGGAGCGTACATATTGTACGCTCGGCATGAAGGTAAAACAAAGAATTTAAACCATGCTAGCTCTGGCAATGTGTGATACAACGCACACGGCTGGAGCTGCTAAAACGCACACGGCTGGAGCTGCTAAAACGCACACGGCTGGAGCTGCTAAAAGAGCACATGGCTGGAGCTGCCAAAATGCACACTGCTGGAGCTGCTGAAACGCAGCATTTTAGCAGATGGGCTATTGTGAATGGGCCCTAACAGTGAATCTTCAACCCTTAAACTCACTATTAGTAAAAGAGGTGAACCTACAAGTACGTTCACTGTAAATACCCAATTATGTGCGAGAGAAATTTCAATCCTGGATTTTAGCTAGAACATAATTGGTAGGTTTAATTAAACACAACTTCACCTCATTCACTGTGCTCAATGAACATTAACTTTGCTAAGTGAACAGTCTCTATCCCGTTTGGAGATCAACCCCATTGACTTCTTTGTTCCAAAGCAAAGGAGATCAGTTAAAGTCCCTGTGTCTAAAAATAGGTAATGTGGAAATCTACCAGTGACAAAATCATCAAATTACTGAAATACATGAAGCTTGGAGATAAAGCACAGACCGGAAGCAGAACTAGGTCTGCATCATAGCAGCTTGCACATTTGCCCTCATTCAGTAATTCAGAAAACAGTGTGTTAGCCGGGGGAACCTTCCACAACCAATGAACTGATTCACTGACCTGACTTCCGTACAGTGAAATCTGTTAGGTGTCTTTAAGATCCTGGAGCACCAATGCCCCATGCACTTTAATAATTCTGATTGCATTGGTACTTTAGGCTACATAAGTCCGCACTTTGCCTAATTTCATTTCCCTTCCCGGTGAGTTATAAACATGAGTTCAGCCATATTGTGACATGCCGGCAAACATCGGTCTTCCCCAGCCAGACATAAGCGGACGGGGTGTACTGCTCTGATACATCTGTACATGACTAGCCAAGGAGGAATATATCCAGTGCTTACCTGTCCGAACCTGGCATATTCCTTTGTCTCATTGGGAGAGATAAAACTTGCTGGTGCTCCCAGGACTGTGACAAGGACAGGAAAGCCTCTGATACATCATAAATGTCTTATTTTGGTAAAGTTGACAAGCTGGATATAAAGAGATCGTAAACTAAACCTAACAAGTTTAAATACTATGCAGTCTTCCATGGTTGGGGATTTTGGTTATATTTTGGAAGCTTTAAATGTGGTGTAAAGGTTCAAAAAGCAGCTAACAGTTCCCATGTATTTTGGTTTATTTCTGCTGCTGCATTGGCGCGGTTAGTTTACATTTTGGACTTATTGTTATATAAAATTATAACTAACTAGGCATATGTAGGTACGCAATTTGGGCTGCAGATACTTGTCTATTGCAGGACTGCTGGTAAGACACACAAGGTTCCTACTACCGTATTAGTTTAATAGGTTTGTTGAATACTTGTTAAAGAGAACCTGTCAGAAGAGGATTATAATACTGCAATTGGCTTGTTTACGAAGTTCAGACTTTGGAGCTGTATTCTTATTCTTGCTCTGCCAATTCAGTCGCTAACCTACATATATACCTACCGCATACATTTAAAATGTTTCCCAAAACATCCCATGCAAATGCTTGTTTTAGGTCGGGAACTATGAGCGTGAGAGCCTGCTGCTTCAAAAACAAGTCAGCACTGACATTTGAGATATTTGTGACTAGTTCCCTTTAACGTATGATTTTTTTTCTGGCAGTAAGTATAACATTAGGAGTGACATGGCAGTGCACATGAACCGTGGCATCAATATAAAAAGATTTCCTTCATTTTTACTTAACAATATTCTAGTACATTTTGGTATACTGAGCAGCAGGGAATGGGAGATGAGCTCAGAGTGAACTAGCTGCATGTAACCTTTTCTTAGAGCAGCTTACTACTTTCCTGTATGTAGCAGTCCTTTCTTTCCACAGTGGTTTGCTGCAGCCTCCCTTTCTCTCCCTTGTGATTGGGTTACATTGCGTCGCTGCCTGCGGCCAGTCTAGCCGAATGTGAATTTAGTGAGAAATTTAGAGAAGTGTTGGGATTTGCAGATGCAATGAGTGAAACACAAATCTCTGTCCATGAACCATTCGCCATCTGAGAGTTTTTTTTTGTATTGTTATCCTACACAACTTCTTTAAGTTCTCTGTAGACCATTTTGGATGTCCTTGTTTTCCCAGATCCTGGTGAATGTTCATAGTTCCTCTTTGCACTGTATGCATTGAGGGGTGAATGCACGCGTAATGTGCAATGCAGGTGATATATTCATTTGTTAAATTCAGTCATGGCCAAAAATATTGGCACCCCTGCATTTCTGTCAGATAATGCCCTAGTTTGTGCAGAAAATTGTTGGAATTACAAATGTTTCGGCATTCTCATGTATATTTCTTTTGTTTGTATTGGCATGGCACAAAATAACAGCTTTTTGGTGCAGCCCATCATTGTACTATGTTCAGAAGAAGAAATGAGGCCTTTAAAGAAAAAAATCCAGTCCCTACAGTCGCACATGGTGGGGGGTCACTGATGTTTTGGGGTTGCTTTGCTGCTTTAGGCACTGGATGTCTTGACTATGTGCTTGGCATTATGAAATCTGAAGACTACCAAATAATTCTGGGGTGTAATGTAGGGCCCAGTGTCAGAAAGTTGGGTCTCTGTTACAGGTCAGCAGGACAATGACCCAAGGCACCCAGAAATGGTTTCAGACAAAGCGCTGGAGGGTGCTGGACTGGCCAGCAATGAGTTCAGATCTGAATCCCATAGAGGTCCTGTGGAGAGAAAAGGAACCTTCCAATCTGAGAGACCTGGAGCAGGTGGTGAAAGAAGAGTGCTCCAACATTCCTGTAGAGAGGTGTAAGAAACTCATTGATGGTTACAGGAAGCCATTGCTTTCAGTTATTTTTTCCAAGGGCTGTGCTATCAAATATTAATTGAGGGTGCCAATAATTTTGTCCAGTCCATTTTTGGAATTTTGCGTGGAACGTGTCAGATTTGGCTTTTTTTCCCCTCCACTATTTTTGTGTTTTATACCAATACAAACAAAATAAATAAACATGAGAATGCCGAAACATTTGTAATTGGAACAATTTTCTGCGCGAAGTGGTGCGTTATGTGGCAGAAATGCTGGGGTGCCAATATTTTTGGCCATGACTGTATAATCTGTTTTCTTATTTGTCCAGAAATGCTGCTGCACACTACGGGGTAAATCTATATAAACTTCATGAATGGGACTTGATGCCAAGGCCTCTTCAAGGCAAAGTAGTGATGACCAAGTCTCTGTGCCGTTCCTTGCTGTCAGGTGCAGGAGGAGATGGTCACTTGCTGAAAGGGTTGCGATGGCCCAAAACATCTTCATTTTTCTAATGTAGTACTTGGCTTGAATTGTTATAGAAGTTCTCTGTGGAGTGACCACAGCTACAGACACATGTTAAGGTGCTATAAACACCTAGATTCTCACAAGCTTTATTATGTATCTGCCCTTCCTAGGCTCTCCTCTCTGCTTTTACCACCCCTAGCACAACAGCTAATGTGTGTTGAATATGACTTGAATAAACATATGTGACTAACCCCTCCTCCCCGAATTGAAGCTTGGGATTAATGGCAGCCAAGAGGATAGTGCATTGAAAAAAGGTTTATGTTTGGTTTTCCGTGGGATGTGGTACTTTCAGTCCATTCAAATTGATTGGGCTGCTTTAACATAGTGCATGTTAACGTACAAAATTCTGCATATTTTTTTGCAGCACACCAAAAAAGTGTGAAGGAGGTCTAATGCTGAAATCCAGGATCAACACTCTCTCCACC